GCAAAGCCTTACAGAAGGGTTTTGAATCCGTACAAAGCAGGAATTGCTAACAAACACAAAACAAGGGGTAAAAATGCCACAAATCTGGACCCTTTGATGGCTGAGCGCGCACGCCCTCTACACGCCAACGAACGCCAGAACATCGTACGCTGGACGTCAGGGACGCTGTGGAGGAGGTTATATAAACTTTAAAGGATCGAACAAAAGATTATCCGCGAGGCAACGAGGTCAAAACGAGGACATATATCGTCTTCATTCAGTGAAGAAGATGATGGAGACGTACGGCTATTTATCAAAGCTTGATCGATTCAGAAAGTAGTTACACTAGAGCAACGGAAGATTCGCGATCACACAATTATCGAGAATGAAATCTCGAACGACTTAAACAAGTCTGAAATCTGAAATTGTAATAGAGAAGTAAATTGTGTACGGCGCCAAAGAGTAGTTTGATTTAAATGAGTACATTTTTTTTACAAGAAAAGAAGACTATTCTGCTCTTCTAAATCGGAAGGACAATTTGATAATTCCAGTATACTCAGCGCCATTAAATCTACTTACGTTTTGACAATTCGAAATATAGTAACTTGAAAGTACTTAGCTCGATTAACATTTTCTCGACACAAGGGCACATTTCTTGCCTTTTAAAGGGCACATGCAAAGAACAGTAGGAATCAGTCTATAACAGGGCGATATTTTCGTCTTTTACAAGAGCTCAACTGTTCTGGTGCAACAAAGCTTATATGGTACAATTCATAATCGTCTGTACTTACTTTAATCAAGAGCTATTCTTGTATATGATTACATCAACATAGTATCGTCAATGATTTGTTACTGGAGATGGCCCAAAACGAGTACTGTGATATTGTGAAAGGACGAAAAATGCGTCCTTTGAGAAGAAAATGAGCTAGTCCAGTATAGTATCCTTTAGGCAAGGATCGCGAAAGGGTTAGCTCTTTCGTGGTCAACCGGGACATTTTTCGTCCTTTGTTGTATTACTGCAAAATATGCGTTTAGGTACGAAATAT